GGGATGGGGGGGGGCAGGGGGGGGAAGGGGGGGGGGGGCGAAAGGGGGGTGGGATTTGGGAGTTTTTGGACGAAAAATGCTCACTGCTGCGTACTGTGAAAGCTTCACGGCTGGATTTTGACGTGGGATGGTCATGCTGGACTAGGCCACCCAGGCAATAGTAGACGCATGCAGTAGACTGCTCTGTCCTTGGAGTATGATGGGGATTTTCCATGAAAGAAAGATTTCCCAATAATTTCATACGAGCTATAGTCTAAACTCCGGAAAGAGCTTTATAAAGGGGATTCCAAGAAAAGTATAAGGTCATTAAGGGGCATACTAGTAGTGTAGACTATGATTATGCTGACATTTCTACCGGGACATTCGTAACGGTTCTTTGCGAACCCCACTCCCCCCAAACAAGGACCTGGGGTCCTCATTTGGCTAGGGACCATCATCTTCATATACTCTACCCCTTAAATCCCCAATACCTTATGTAGCCTGATGTCTCTTAGATTAGATACTTCTGTCCTGAAATGGCCCTCGAACTGCTCCCTGTTCCAAACAACTGCTCAGGCTGGGGCACCGGAGGATCCAGTTACGTCTTCAACTCGGCCAGCTTCTTGGGGGGTCAGGATTCAGGGTAACTGGTTTAGGGTTTAGGGTTTAGGGTAAGTGGGTTTAGGGTTTAGGGTTTAGGGTAAGTGGGTTTAGGGTTTAGGACCTAGAGTTAAATGAGGGGTTACTTTGAGTATTCCGGGCTTGTGCTTTAGTTTCGGGATTTCTTTCACGCCTAATGTTGGCAGCGCTTCGACAGAGGAGGGGCCTGTAGAAAACAACATGGCAGGCCCCTAGAAGTATTGGCCCCTAACATGGGCCCATAGGCCTTTAGGGGGGTTCTAGGGACCCTTAAGGGTACATATATAGAGAATATACAGTAGTAGGTATATAAGGATCCCAAGGTTAAGGGCCCATACTATGGGCCTATGGTTTCAACCTTCCAAACTATTCTGGGGATCCTCCGAAAGGGATCCCTCAGCTTTTGGACCCATAGGCCTCTCCATTGCACTGGGCACAGGAGTTTCCAGAAGTGGGCACCTTCAAAGGGGTTCTTATGCTCATAAGGCCCATTCTTATGAGACGCCCTAAACCCAAACCGCAAAACCGCAAAACCCTAATCCGTGTGAAACATAAGCATAAAGTCTGAGGGACTCAACAGCCCCGCCGAAGAGGGAAGTCTTGGCCTGAGTCACTCAGGGTAGTGTAGAGCCATATATTTATATATATGTATATATATTCAAACATAAGTATATGGATAGATATATGTATATATATATATACACACATATGTCTATATGTCTAAATTTTCATATGTATGTGTATGTATGTGTTTATGTATAGAGATCGATAGATAGATAGATGGATAGATGGATAGATGGACAGATAGATAGATAGATAGATAGGAGGATTAAGGACTTGGGGTTTGGGGAGTATATAGCCCTGAGTGATGAGTAAGTATGCATGTTTCAGAAGGAGCTTCTTCTGATTGTTCAGGCTCCCAAAGTGGTTGCCTGTATCCGCAGCTGCGGACACAGCAATTTCGGTACCCTCTGCCCCCTTCTACAACTGTGTTGTTTTCCCTGTTCGCATTCAAATCTCATCGCGAGCAGTTGCCTGCTTAATCATCTGTACATATAAAACTCCAAACTTAACCTCCATGTAATGTTGCACTCGCGTTAGTGGGTAGTCCCCCCCCCAAACAACTTAGGCGTCCTGAATCAAAAATTGTTTGAGGGGTCTAGGGGTCTGAGTTGAATCCTATCATTATTAGTATCGAAACAATTAATACTATTTAAAACTAAATGTTTGATCATTTCAAAGCTGAAAAATTACGAATTCTGCCCCAAAAACTTGACATTAAAGAGAGTCCCAAAACATATCCCAAATCCTGAATAAGCCCCAGAAACTTGACATTAAAGAGAGGGCCCCAGCAAAAGTGGGTGCAACATTAATCTACGTATCAATAGTATCATCCGCATACACTCACCGTATATCGCCTGTACCAGCCGCATGGCTGCTAGGCATGTTCAATGCGCTGTATGTATCAGCAGAGAGCTCCAAGGACATGGCATGCGATTCCATCCACGTGGCTCTCATGAGTGGAAGTGGTGCACAGATCCCAGCTAGCATAGATCGCCCTCTTAATTATGTGAAGCTGCAGGCCCCAAAGGCGCTGCAGACTGGCTTGGCGGTCCTACGGGATTCAAGAGGCCGAATCCTGGATGAACAGAAGACTCTCGGTGAAGCCGGTGTGAGACCTGGAGATTCTTTGAACTTGGAAGTGCGGCCGGCCAGCTGGCCAGCAGCAAGAGTTTTTTGCTGTCATCATGGGCGATGGATCTGTTGTCACCTGGAGTCATCAGCCTCATTTGCGGCTGAGGGAGGAGCTGCTGAGGAACGTGCAGCACATCCAGGTTACCGACTATGCTGTTGCGGCCATTCTGCACAATGGATCTGTGGTCACCTGGGGTGATCCGGATTCTGGTGGTGACAGCAGCCGAGTCCAGCAGCTGAGGAACGTTCAGCACATCCAATCAACTGAGCATAGATGTGCCGCAGTTTGAAGACCTTTTTCCCAGTCTTGTGCGACTTTCACGTAGTCTTACAGCAGCCGTCTCCCAGAACAGCTTAACAGTGTGGGCACAGCCCTACTACTGACTCCACGTTCGCTGCTGCGGGACGTTGCGCATTTCGTGATCCATCCGGCCGGGAACGGCTGTTGGATGAACATGGCGTGCAAAACCTTGATTCCTGAAACCTGTCTATGCATTCAAGCGCAGGCGCGCCGTGTACAAGGCGGAAACACCAAACCATTCATTCCAAATCCTCTCGGGTTTGGGGTTTGGGGTGTAGGCTAAGTCGAAAAAATGCCAAGGCCCCACCCATAAAGCCGTAGCCCCTATCCAATCTCCCCACATTCGAACAGAAAATTGGCGTTTCCATGAATCGGGGGCGGCCAATACAGACTAGACCCCCACATCTTACAGTAATTGTAGTACAGTGTAGTATTTATAGTCATCCGTGTAATTGTGACAACTATGGTAGTTGTAGTCGTTATATGATAGTTTCCTTACATAGGGGGACCCCAATTATAGACCCCAAAATACTATAATCCTTAATATGGGTACCTCCAAAAAGGTATGCCTAATTTTGGGAAACTACCATATTCCTTTTCTATCCCCCCCAAATTGGGAGCCTTAGGTGACGCGTCCCCAAGCTCGTCTTCCTCCTTTGGTGTGGGGACCTCTGTGCATCGGCTTAGGGTGTGGGATTTTGGGGTTAGGGTTCAGGGTTCAGAGTTCAGGGTTGTGGGCTGCGGGGCTAGGCTTTCGAGGCTTAGTAGAGCTTTCTGGGGAGTATGTGAGTGAAGAAAAGGTGTTGTTTTGGGCGCTGCTCACATGGGAGGTAAGTTCCAGCACCCGCATCTCAAACATTGCCTACAAGCCCTTCAGGAGACTTAGCCACTTGCTCACGTCTGCATGGCCTCCCTACCCTGCTAGACTTGGAAGATCCAGTAACCCTAAGCCCCAAGCCCCAAAACCCCTGACTTCCCACCCTTTAAACGCAAAAATCCTAAGCTTACCCTTAGCGTTGTGCCCACCGAGGTTGTTCTGAATCACCGGAAAGCGCCTTGGCACAAAAGCAGCACTCGGCTTATGGGGCTGTCAAGAAGGGCTTGCTAGCAACGGTGTTTCCATTGATTTTGGGTCCCTTCTCGAGACGCTCTATAATGGGGATTCTAGCAGTTTGAGGTGTATACGGGGATTCCAACATGTTGGAAGTATTCAATGTGGAGTTGGGTAAAGTGGGTAAAGCATGCCGAGCGCACGGGCCTCTGTAAACCCTTCAGAGCAGCGGGACCCTGAATACAACGCCAAGAATTTTCTTTCTCATCACTATAATTCAACAAATAGTGATACTACTACCTCTTAAAAGCATAGTAATAGTAAAAGCATTAGAACTAGATCCAATCATACTAATAGTACTAATACGTACTTCTTCCAA